GACATCATTGCTTACTACGTGTGAAATCTGTGAAAGATCACAGAGGTCACATGGTACAAGGCTATTCACAACAGCCTTGTACCATGTGACAAGCTGTGACCAATCACAGCTCACTCAGTATTTCTCAATGGCTGCAAGAATGCAGACAGAGAGAAAGAGAAATGATTGCTTTTACATCCTATATGGGTGTAAAAGCAATCAGTGTAAAAGAAAAAAAAAAAAATCTTCATCACCCCCCACAAAGTAGTACAGTGTCACCATGGTGACACTGTCCTACTAGGGTGACAGTATGTAAAAAAGAAAAAAAAACATGAATAATAATATAAAAAAATAAAATAAAAATGTAAAAAAAAGTTTAAAAATTATAATTTTTGGTTATAAACTAATTTGACTTATTTTTTTTTTTACTAAAAAGATAACGGAATACATTTCGGCCAAGATTTATGATGAAAGATTATTTAATTTGCAAAATTTTATAAGAAAAACTTGTTTTCAAAATTTTTGGACTCTTTCATTTACATAGCAAAAAAAATAAAAATCCCAGCGGTGAATAAATACCACCAAAATAAAAAAAATTCATATGGGTACAGTATTGCATGACAATTGTCATTCAAAGTATGATAGCGCTGAAAGCTGAAAATTGCCCTGGGCAGGAAGGGGGTAAAAGTGTCCGGACAGGAAGTGGTTAAGAAGAAACAAAGTATCGCAGACTGAAAGAGTCATCCGGGAACTGGCTCATTGCTTCTCTGTGCTGCAGCTTGCAACTTGTTTTCTTTTTTTCTTCTGTGTGACTCTCTTTGCCAGAGGGCCTTGTCCCTGCTCTCATTCAATTACACATCTTTCTGGTAGTAAATTAAATTATACTCTTCATTTGCCAGATGCAGCGTAAACACAAAACAACAGCGTTAACTAATAGCCCGCTATTGGGGTCAAGTGTCAGGGTTCTAAAAAAATAGCTACAAGGTAGCAGACGTATCACCTGTTATAGAAAGAAGAAAAAAAGGATTATCCAGTGTTTCATTTATCAAAGTAGATGACTGGAGATTTCTTATTGTAATTATTATCTGCAAAGAATTAGCAATTCTTTCAGACAGCCCCAGACACCTCCAATTAAAGTAAAACTTTGGCCAGGCTACAAGGAAATATTGACAGACACCCCACCTTCTCATATATACACACCCCTAACAACATCACCGGTCCTGCCAGAAATTCAGCAAACTGTTTCTTCTGTTATCGGTTTTCATTGTTCTCAGTTATCCCTGTAGAGAACAGAACACCCCCCCCCCCCCCCCATGTTTATAGAAATGAGGAGAGATGAGTGTTCTGTAATTCTAACACACATCCTGTGCTAGGGTGACAACGCTGATCTTCCATAGATACAGTGCAGATATGAGTGTTGTCATCCTAGGACAGGAGTGTATTACTAGCAGGATCATCAAGTGACAATAAAGGAAAACAAAAAATGATAAAAGAAAAATATTACATCCACTATATATTGCTACTGTACAGCGCTGAGCATACCCCTTGGTGCTATATAAATACTGTATAATAATATACACTCAATGGCCACTTTATTAGGTACTTCTTGCTAGTGCCAAGAAAAACTCTTTTACACCATTACAACACCACCAGCAGCCTGAACCGTTGATACAAGGCAGGATGGATCCATGCTTTCATGTTGTTTATGACCCTACCATCTGAATGTCACAGCTGAAATTGAATGCCCATTCTCCTCTGACCTCTGACATCAACAAGGCATTTTCGTCCACACAACTGCCGCTCCCTGAATATTTTTTTATTTTTTGCACCATTCTCTGTAAACCCTAGAGATGGTTGTGCGTGAAAATCCCAGTAGATCAGCAGTTTTTGAAATACTCAGACCAGCCCGTCTGGCACCAACAACCATGCCACGTTCAAAGTCACTTAAACCCCTTTTCTTACCCATTGTGATGCTCAGTTTGAACTTCAGCAAGTCGTCTTCACCACATATAGATGTCTAAATACAGTGAGTTGCTGCCATGTGATTGGCTGATTAGTAATTTGTGTTACCAAGCAATTGAGCAGGTGTACCTAATAAAGTGGCCGATGAGTGTATAAAGGTCTGGTAAGCTGCAGTATCTTGCTATTTTCCGTTTCTTGGTTTTATAGGCGCTTTAAGTGTAAACTGATTTTATTGTTATACAGGCTTTATATAGTGTTAAAGTGTGAGTAAACTCCCTTTTTTTCTTTGTACCTACAGGTAAGCCTATTATAAGGGTTACCTGTAGGCACCACAAATATCTCCTAAATGTTCACCGTTTAGGAAATATTTACATATGAAGCAGCCGCTGATGTCACCGGTGCATGCACACTACGCTTTCAATAGATGGCATGTTCTCCATTGAGAGAGCTGTGCCGCAGCCATGACTCCCATGCGTATGTGTGGGAGTGACGTCATCGGGCTCAGTCATTCAAGCAGCCGGAGCCAGTGAACCTGGAAGGAAGACTGGATGAAGATGGATTTCCTGTCAGTGTTGATAAGGCACCACTGGGGGATTCTTTTCACAGTTAGGTCTGTCATAATGTGCTAGTATGTGGTGCATACTAGCACATTATGACTTTATCCTGCGAGGGACCATTTTTTTTTCAAACACAATTTACTCCCACACAGTTTGTGCAGTGTTTTACAAAATAAAGGTAGACAGTACAGTAACAAAATTCAAAACAAGATTGTTGGGGGCGGGGCTGACCCCTGAGAGCTTACAATCTAAAAGGGAGGAACAAGTGATGCAAAAGGCAATAGATGTGGGGAAAGAAGTTGATGGAGAATGTGAATGTTCCATTTTTTAGATGGATGTGGATTAGGCTTCCCTGAAGGCTTGAGGTTTCAGGAATCACCTATAGGTGGACAGAGTCAAGATATAGTCGGGTAGAAAGGGGTAGGAAGTTCCAGAGATTGATAGAGGCTTCGGAGAAGTCCTGAAGACAAGCAGTTCTAGAGGATGATAGAGGCTTGGGAGAAGTCCTGGAGGCATGCATGGGAAGAGTGACAAGGGAGCTAGCAAGCAGGAGGTCTTGGGAGACACAAAGAAGATGATTTGGGTGATAATTTGAGAGGAGGTTGGGGCAGATTTTTGGATGGCTTTGTATGCTGTTGAATTTTAGATGTTGGGCAAGTGGAAGCCAGTGAAGACACTGAGAGGTTGGTAAGGTGGTAGTTGCTTTTATGGGCTGTTTTTGAATAAAGTGTTGCTCTAAAGAACAATCATGGTGAGGAGAAGGAGATAGTTATACCATTGATCTTGATGGAAAAGCTCGGAGGAGGCTGCACGAGGAATGATAGTGGAGGTCACAGTCCAGGATTACACCAAGAGCCTGGCATGAGGAGAAGCACTGATAGTTGTGCCACTGATTTTGATGGAAAAGCTTGGAGGGGGTGACATGAGGAAGAGGAAATATTATGAAGTCAGATTAAAGATAGAATTTCAGGTAGTGTTGTGATATCTATGCTGATATATCAGTTAGAAAAATGAGTGCTTTGCGAGGAGACTAAAGAGGTGAGTTAAGGAGTAGAGATAGATTTGGGTGTCATCAGCATAGAGATAGTAATGGAAGCTGTGGGAGGTTATTAACTGACCAAGGAAGGAGGTGTGGAGAGAGAATAGAAGAAGAGAACCTTGGGGACCCTTACAAAAAGAGGAAGGGGAGATGAGGAGGTTTAGTTGTAGGTGACACTGAAATAATGCTTAGGTAGTTTATGATGAATGTTTTGAGTTGCAATTCACACTTTTTTCTTGAAACCAAAACTGACGGTAAAAAAATCTTTGGATCTATATTCTACCTAAACTAACTGTTCATCAGTTTTACCCATCCTTCTGTCCCTGACCAGTAAGTCATTTTTGTACCCACTTTTCTATTGTGTTCACGTGCAATGACCAAAAGCAATTTTGGCCAAAAGGGGAGGGTCAATATTCAGCTGAAGACCAGATTGCCAAACTCTGCTTGAATGTTACTTCATCAGGTCTCCTTGGCTGAAATCACCCGAGAAGTGGTTTGGCATCTGGTCATTTGACTGGCATAAGACAATTTAAGGTATTATCTTCCATTGATGCAATAGGATTGGTAAAATAGATGATGATTTTTTTTTCGACTGTGAATAGTTTCAATGTAAGGTAAAATTGCTACAAAAATGTTCTCAGTCATAAACACACTAAGCATCTGAATATTTAAGTGACGTTAAAAACAATAGTTACTTGTGTTTACCTCCAAAGGGGAACTCTGCCTCGTGCTGAGATAATGTTATATTTGTGGTAGAAGAATATAGTCAAAAAGCTAAAGGCTTTTGTTTTATGTGCCTCTGTATACTTAGCAACATGATTATCTGCCATGCCCTGCTGTTACTTATTGCCAAGGATACTAATTCAGCGTGAATGAAGTAATCATATTGCATTTAGCCCTGACACCCTGAGATGATGGTATCGACAGTCATATGTTCCATTTGCTTCCATGTTCTGTGAACTGTGCATTCACTTTGGAGTTCTATGAAGGATCAAATGTATTGTAATATTATTCATAAATATACTTACAAATAATTTGTAATAATATTAAATCAGAACTATACTGCATCTGAGAACCACAAACTAAAAACACTATTTAATTAATTTCTATTATTCAAAGAAGACTCTCCCATCCATCCAAGTTTTCATGCTCTACAGGGCACTTATACCCTCTTCCTGCCCAGGCCAATTTCCAGCTTTCAGCGCTCTCACACTTTAAATGACAATTGTGCTGTCATGCAACACTGTACCCATATGAAATTTTTATCATTTTTTTGTGACAGATAGAGTTTTTTGTGTTGGTGGTATTTAATCACCTCTGGGTTTTTTATTTTTTCTTAAACAAACCAAAAACCACTGAAAATTTTGGAAAAAAACGTTTTTTCTTAGATTTTGTTATAAAATTTTGTAAATAAGTGATTTTTCTCCTTCACTGATGTGTGCCAATGAGGCTGTAGTGATGGGCACTGATAGGCTGCACTGATAGGTGGCACTGATGGGCACTGATGAGGAGGCACTGGTAGGTAGCACTGATGGGCATTGACAGACATCACTGGTGGGCACTGAAAGGCAGCACACATATATGGCACTGATAGGCGGCACTGACTGGCATTGATAGGTGGCACTGACTGGCACTGTTAGGCGGCACTGACTGGCACTGATAGGCAGCACTGACGGGCACTGATAGGCGACACTGATGCACACTGATAGGCGGCACTGACTGGCACTGATATGTGGCACTGATTGGCGGCACTGATAGGTGGCACTGAGTGGCATTGATAGGTGGCACTGATGGGTGACACTGAAAGGCAGCTCAGATGGGCACTAATATGTGGCATTGATGTGGCACTGATGGGCACCGGCAGGTGGCATGGATGAGCACTGACAGCTGGCACTGACAGGTGGCACTGCTGGGGCTACAGAGATCATCAGGGCACACTGATCATCAGTGCTCTGATGATCTGTGTACATGTCCCCTCTGAGGAATGCCGATTACCGGCTCTCCTCCCCTCACGAGCTGTCAGTGTGACAGCTCGTGAGGAGAGAAATGCCGATAACTGGCATTTCCCTGTTTACATGTGATCAGCTGTGATTGGACACAGCTGATCACATGATGAGCCGACATCTTTCCGTTGATCGGTGATCCGCTGTGTCCTAGGGACACAGCGCACCGCCGTTCTGCACGCTCCTGGAGCCACGCATGCGCGGTTAGAATGGGAGGGCGTCATATGACGTTCTCCCAGAACGAGACAACCGCCTTGCGCCCGTCATTGTACTATATGGTGGGTGGGAGGCGGTTAAAAAAAAACTCTAGCATTTTTGGCAGTGGCCATCTTCAGTAAGGGCAGATGATTCATGTAGTATTTACTTCCTGGAATTCATCAGTTCTTCGCTCCACCATGCAGGCAGGGGGGTGTACTTAGCTGGGAAAAACCCTCTTCCTGAAGGCTCCTGGGATGTATGACATCATTTGCCTAGGCATGGAAAACAGGAAGTAACTAAAGAAATGTAAAAAAAAAAGTTCTGCTTTGAGTTTAATATCTAAAATGTGGGTATTAAAGCAAAACTCTATCAGGTTTTAAATTCATTATAATATCAGAGAGCTGATGGCCTTTTTTTGAAGGAATCAAGTTTTACCCCTGGTTCACATCTATGCAGCCATGCGGGCCGCGTTTTGAATGGACTCCCGTGCCCAGTGACATGCAGGGAAGAAGTCCCTGCACGTCTGAAAATGCAGCTGGCATGGGAACCTCGGTTCCCAGTACGGCTGCATTTTCCAGTGCATGCGGCATGCCATTAAAACTAATGGCACTCACCCGCGGGTCTGCATTCCTCTCTGCGGGTGGTGTGGCTGCACAGATTTTCGTGCGGATCCGCAGCCGCACCACCCTCACAGATGTGAACCTAGCCTTATGGTGCATACACTAACAAGTTGGCTTGAGCAGAAATGTACATTTGTGTTCTCATGTGCACACTGCTTCCTAGCATGCCACAGCTGAGTAGGTCTGAACCAATGAAATGGAACTCAAATCCCATGATTGTCTGGTAGTTTTCACTGCCTTGCTGTCAGCACTTTCAGTAATCAGGTAGTAGGACATCATGAGGGTAGATTACAGTCCCATCTTTTTTTTTTTTTAAGGGAAGAAAGTTGGCTGCTTTCCCACAGCAAGGAAAGGAAGAAGTGGCAAGCAGCTGTATTTAATATTTTTTACCAGTTCTTGATTTTATAACACAACTTGCAATTTCATTACACCCAAGATCTTCTTTAAAACCCTGTTTTAAACTGGCATCTGAATTTCAAAGTATAAAGCGATAGGTTCCTTAATGTATCTTTAATTTTATTCTTGAATGCCCTAGATGCCAAAACCATTGGCACTATGCTATGCATATTTTAGACTTCAGAAGAGGAAGCTGAGCTCCAACCTTTGTTTCCTGCAACACATTGGTTAGTGTGACAGTTCATAATGATAAAGGACCAGTCCTGATGTGTGGGAGATATGACGGGGCTTGCTGGAGCTTGACTACAAAATGTTCAATTTTACCATTAAGTGAACTGTGTTTCTGGGTTCTTGTAGTGCTTAAATGTATACCTAAAGATACTTTCAAGTATATGTAGGTATCTGTTCTCAGTTCTTGATGCTAGTGTGAAGGGGGGGTGACCCAAAGCACAATACAGCAGGGGAAGGAAGACCTGGGGAACTTGGTTCCTTTATGACTTCCTGTGGCCACCTGGGAACACATGTCTGATTGGACGCTGGTCGCCTTGTGATCTCCATGGTCATCTGGGGTGAGGGCACAGCTTATTTAAGGCCCTGCCACCCTGATTTGGTGTGCATTTTGGCAAGTGGCTAGTGTAGGGACAGATTCCTCACCTGTTAGGGACAGCACTTAGCAGCAGGAAAAGGTTTCTGAAGGAGTAGGGAAGGTGCAGGGATTAAGTCTTCCTTGTGGAGAAGCTTCTCTATTGGGTTCAATTGGCCAGGTTGTGCTTCCACTCCTCTTTGCAGATGCTGTTAGCATCACTTTAACCCACATGATCGCTGCTGTGAGACTTGTAAGTGGTTCCAGACAGCTGTGCTCACCTGTCGAGGCTGGTTGTATCTTGTTGGAACATTTCAATATATTTGGTTCACCACAATCCTCCTCCATGTGCTCTCTTCCACTGCCACACCATGCTGTACACTCCTCACAAGTGTATTCATTTTAGTGATTCAGCAGGTTCACTTTAAAGAAAATCTGTACAGTGGATACTGAGCCCAAAAAAGGCAAGCAGAGGTAAAGGCCTACTCAAGAGTGTTTCCAGTAGGCTCCCTGCAGCTGATCTTTTTCCAGTGTTAACTTACCATACCTTGTTTTTTACTGTGTCTTTATGTGGAAGCCACCATCTTAATGGAGCTGCAGGACTTTGCTTCCACATGTCAGAACATTCCTCCTAAAGATCAATAATCTGAAGGCTGGAAGGTAAATATTCAAGAATAAGCAAGAGAGGTGCAGAATGCACAGATCCACTGGATAAAACAGAAACATGGAGATCCCTGAAGTGCAGATTCTCAGGTACAGCTTCCTCTGCAGGAGTGAGAACAGTTATAGCACAGTAATGACATCTCTAAGTCTCACGCCAAATCTCTCAAGACTCGGTCAAAGGCGGCAGTGCCTTAGAAGATCTCAAACTGCAGATATGCATCTTTGAGTCTGAAGACACAAGGCTGCCTAGGCACAGGAAGAACAATGCTTTTTTTATCAGGATGGACTCAAGACAAGAAGTAAATCTTTTCAAGTGCTGTTTAGGCACTGTTAATACTTGAGTTTGTTCACATTTTGCATTCAGGTCCACTTTTATACTATCATTCAAAGCAGGAAAATATAGTAAGTATGGACAGTAATAATCTCTATCAATTTTATAGAAAAGTGTTTGTTCTAATATAGTATTCATATGGATCTAAACATGTTCTTATATGATGCCGCCTTAAGTCGCACCTTGGCTTTACCTTCTTGTTGTCCTAGAACCAATTTTCCTCAGGGATATCATATTTACCGGACTAACATAAAAAAAAAAACAACATAATTTTAAAATATATTTAATTGTCCTGATCGTAATGAAGAAACAAAATATGTATAAAACGACTAAATTTCCACTTTAAGAAAATCAGCTTTTTTGTGCATTTTCATTGGTTAGCTTACTATGGCTACTACATAATTATATTAATATATAAATATGTACTGTTTAGGAATGTACACATTTTAATGTTAGCAATATAACTTCTAGATACTAAAAACCTCAGATACAAAATGATGATGTCCCTTTAAGGAACATTCTCCTATTGATTTTATAAGTAACCCTAGCAAGCACCAGGAATGGCGAGTTCAGCTGAGTAGAGTAACTGATGATCATGTCTGATCAATCGCCCCGTTATTATGCAGATCGAGGAACTCATTTAAACTCCAGCAAAGTCAGTGTATTCAGCTCGAAACTTGTATTGATTTGCAGGATAAGCCTGTAATTGTGCAATGATCTTACATCTATCCCAATTAAGATTACATGGGATAAGCAGTTTTTCTACACTTTAAACATTTGCTTCAGTTATCACAAAATGGTGACACGTCCCGTTTAGAGACATTAACTTAGTTGTAGTCCCAATGTCAATGTAAATGAATCTTGCAGTGTGGGAGGGACCACTGAACAAAATTCCCTCGAGAGGAGGAGGTCATAGGCTTATAGTTAAACCATAATGTATTTTCGTTGAGCGGTGCCAGCCACATTTTGAGTTTTTTACCGTAACTTGAAATTAAAAAGTGGCCATCTATATATCCGGAGATATGATTAGGATCCTTCCTTAAAGTGAACCTGTCCTGGTCTAAAATGTATCGAACAAGACTGATAAGTGCAGTCACTATACCTGTAATAGTAATCAGATGAGTTTCTTTTGGGAACTTTGTATTGCATAGGCCTTACACTGCCTTAACTTCTGTCCAAGTTGATGTTTTGTCATTTAAATGTCAAATGCCGCATCTTCAGGAGCCAGTAGAGGCATTGTTCTTTCATAGTTGGATACCAGGAATGAGATTTGGGAGTGGCAGGAATTGTCTGGAATCCAAAGGGCTTCACAGGGATGAAAGATTTAACAAGGTGTCTTTACCAGTTTTGCTGGTGTGGCAGAAAAAATTAAATTAATATATAAAAAAACAGCTTCAGGCAGAAAGTACACCTATGGGTGCCCAATCATACCTACAGCAGCTTCATAAACCCAGCAGATACAGCTGAATGAATGCTGGAACACTTTTAACAGACAAAGCACCAGAACCTCTGGGTAGTATAGGAGATTGTTGCTAAGTCTTTTCCCATCACATTTCTATTGGTCCATCAGTATGATGCCCTACCTTGCTGACCAGTAGGAATGTGCAGGAGGCAAGAAGCAAGAAACCTGTATAGAGGCAATATTTTCTTTTTATAAATAACCACCATGTAACAAGAATACTCAAGAAGTACTACTTTAATTTGGAAGTCACTGGAGCCCAGGGGCAGGCTGACCATTTGGAAACTCGGGCACTGCCCGAGGGCCCGGGGTCAGTAGGGGGCCCCATGAGATGCCCCTGGTACCTTTTTCATAGGTTTTTTAAGTTTGGGCAAGGACACGGGGGCCCCATGATCCCCTATTGCCCGGGGGCCCCATGAGTTGTCAGTCCACCCCTGCTGGAGCCATGCTAAAGTCAGAATGTAAACTCTGGTCTGTTTTAGGAAACATGCCATGGTGGAAGCCTTTTGTTACATGATTCTGTGCTGTGCAATCTCCTACTCATGTTCC